ACCATCAGTGGGTTCAGATTTAAAAGGAAGTTTCACAATGTTTAAAAAGATTACATTTTCCTGTGGCTTTGCTGCCAACACATCCCACTGAGAAAGCTCCACAAAAAATATCAATCACATAAATGTATATTCATTACTACATAGCAACATATTTTTATTATCTTTTATGAGTTTCCTTTAATTCAAAAAGCGTGTAACTTTGAAAACCGAAGCTTTGATTTTGAGGACTTGTAAGCCTGAAGTGCATGAAGTCAGCATCCAGTGAAACCCTTTTACTTCCACAAAGTCAAGCTTACATGAAACTAAAACTGCCCTGTTTTATGTTTCAAAGCAGTGAATCTTACAGGTGAGATCAAGTTGGGACCTCGCAGTGAAGGAGAAATGGGCTGACTGACCTCGGTCTTAAAACATGTTCAGAGGGTTTATTGGGCTGCAGATGAAGTTGTCGTTCCGTTTTTATTACAAAGCTGTAAATTGAAAAGTTCTTGAATAATTTTGAGTTTATTCTTTACCTACATGTTACTTAACAATTAAAAATACGAAGAATGAGTCATCAGACAAACATTTATTAAACTCCAAGTTCACTCATTTTTTTATTCATTCATTAATTAATTCATTTATTTATTTATTTGTTTATTTGTGTATTTATTTATTTATTTACTTATTTAACATGTGCTGTGTTCATTTTTCAGGAACTAGAAGCTAGCCAGTTCAGAGGTGAGCTTCAGATGGAAAGACCTGGAGTCTTATTTCATGATATTCAGACATCTCGCCTCAAATTGGCTGACAGCAGCGTGTCTCTGCCACTGACTCTGCTTATTTTTGCAACATTGATGTTTTATCTCCACAAAGTCTGGAGGAATTCTGTTGTGTTGTTGAGTTGCTAATGTGAGCAGTTAGCTTCTACTGTACTAGCCGAGATGTGCTCTGCTCTCTCCTGGAAGCTAAACCAACAACAGCGTTCCCCATCGTAAGTCAAGATGGGTGAGTCCATGAATGTTAATTTAGAATGCGTAGATCTGTGTGAAATTTCTAATCCTAGCATTTCACCATCTATTTTCTATTGGCAGCTACTACAGGAAATAGGAGTAGAAGACTATGTTCATGTTTAGCCTGCATGCTTAACTCAAAGTGACCAATTTCAAAGAGGACAAGTAAAAATGGTTTTCCAGTGAACTTGGCCTTAAAAATAAAATTTCGTCATGAAACTTGCTTACCTTGACGGACCATGTAGAATCTGGAAAATGGGACCACAGTGGTGGTCTTGATTTGGTCTTGTTCTTTGAAATATTATACTCACAATTTAAAACCAGCTAAAAGTGGAAGAGTAGACAGATGAAACATCCTGTACTTTCTGAATGAGGGGAATACAGTACATTTCAATTCAATTCAAAGATATTGTATTAATCCCAGAGGGAAATTAAGAGTTTCAGTACACACAATTCTGAGATCAGTCATACATAAGCAAAGACACAAGAATTGGTGACTGTGGTAATTCGCAACCCGAGTCGCACTACCTTAATAGAGAGCAGAGGGGTTACATGAGGATTGGATCAGGTGGAGAAAAAAAGGCACTACAGAGTTACCTTCCACAGGGAGGGCAGCTTTGCTATGCAAAAAAAACACCTCAGGCAGAAATGCAACAGACTTCAGACATTACGCAACATAAGTGTCCACTAGGTGGGTGGTAGGGTTTTGGGACTCTCCACATGTCAGTAGCAGCAGCCGCGATAGGCAGCGCTCTTCACTTCTGGAAAGGGGTGGGAGGTCGTTGGATTTACAGAGCACAGTGACTCCTGGACCGATTCAGCGGCCTTCACAGCTCGTAGTCCCGCCCAGGCTGGGATAGGAAGACAGAGTTGCCATGACGACGGCAGCATTCCACATTTTCTCTGAGGGAGTTATTCGTTTCAGCCTCACAGGCTCAAGGGCACCAGATTCAGATTAGAAATTGTTTTGGGGCCAGACAGAGATAATTTCTTCTCTGTCTTAGAGTTCCGCTGGTCCTCTACCTCTCAAAATCCAATAATGGCGTAGATTAATCTATCCCAATCCGTGCTGATTCGTCCACTCGCTCCTTGATCGCATCCATCTTTTGTGCCAACACATGAATCTCGCCAAAGTTCCAAGCTTACGACTCATCTCGACAGTTATATGAGTCTGTGAATTCACAGCGTGGTGCAATCCACATCTGAGCTCCGGGAGTGAGCCAATATTCGTCGACAGCTCGTTAATTTTCCGGTAAGTCAGGTAACCTCCAAGGCCAAAGAGCAGGAAACCTGACACCAACACCACGAATATCCAGACATCTTCAGAATTTTCTATAGACAGCTGAGATAGGCAAATCGGGTTCAACTGTTTCCAGGAGTCCATGATGTGCCCAACTGAATCTGTCCCAGAGGGGCACCCGGGAGCCCCTTGTCCCGTTCTCATTGTTGAGAAAATGTTGTCAGTCTCAATGAGTGACCAGCTGACCAGGTCCATTTTTAATCATTTCCAGTTTCCAGAAAAAATGTAGAAGCTCTGTACACCCAAAGACAGACAAAGAGCCTTGGGGATAAGATAGGGAGGAGAGGAGGAAAAAAATGTCTACTCCCCAAGAGTCATGTAAAACATGTTGTGCTATGGTCTTGAATTGTGACAGATTAATAAATTGTGAACACAGTGTCACTCAAGTTTGAACAGAGCTCTCCATGATTGTGTTTCATGATTCCACTGTTGGGTTTCATTCCAACTTGAGCAAACACCTCTATGGAATACTAGAATGCTCCTTCAGAGGCAGACTGAAACATCCCAGATGTAAAACAGAACCCTACCATAAGTCATTCATCCCCTCTGTTGTACGAGTGTTTAACTCCACAGTTTAAGTTAAAGAAAAGAAGAAAATTATCTTTTATATAGCACCTCTTAAGATAAAAATCACGAGGTGCTTCACAAAAACAAAAAATGTTTTAAAGATTTAAAAAATGATGAAATATATGTTTACAATGAGAAACAATTTCATTTGTGATTAAAGAATGTAAGGAAAGGGAAAGAGAAAATGAATGGGAAAGAGGGAAATCAGTGGATCCTGGGAAAAGCAAGGGTTAGGAGAGGATGATGAAGGTCACACAAAAGCCAGCTAGAACAAGTGACTTTTCAGCTGCTTTTTAAAGGAGACCACTGAGTCCACTGATCTCAGGCGCAGGGGGAGAGAGTTCCAGCGTCTGGGGGCCACAGCAGCAAATGATCTGTCACCTTTGGTCTTTAGCTTGGTGTGCTGCACAACCAGTAGGCTTTGATCACTGGACCTCAGGGACCTGCTGGGGGTTCAGGTACTGAGGAGATCGCCAATGCATGATGGCGTTTGTCACAGTACTGTTGTACTAGCGTTATCCTGTTACACAGTGACATTTTACTCTCAGTATGTGTTCAATATTTGTGCAATACCGGATGTACATTAGTATGTCTGTGTCTTTTATGCTGCATAGTTCTAGAAACCTGAGTTTCCTTTTTATTTGTTGTTTTTAGTGGTTGAAAGTTACAATAATAGCTTACTGCCTTTGTGTGTTTACTTGTGCTCTTGTTGTTATTTTTCTTCTTACTTTTCAAATCTAATTTAAGTGGAGGACCTTTTTTTCCAGGTGGATCATCTGAACCATTACAACTGTCAATCATAACTGTCACCTCCAGGACATTGAGGTGTGCAGGTCGGATCACAGCTGACCCGTCTCACTCTGGAGAAGGTCTTTTGACTCGCTCCCATCTGGCAGGAGGCTCAGATCCTTTCGGACCAGAACTCACCACAAGAACTGTTTCTTCCCCTCTGCTGTTGGATTCATGAACGACAATCCTAGGGGTGACCACTCCAGTCGCTTGGTTCCAGTCACCTGACCCTGTGTTGTGTTTGTACCTGTTCAGCATGCTATATGGAGAAATTCCTTTCAGATTACTGCTAGAAGAAGTTAGCTGTAAGGCCGGCATCTACCTGTAAACATAGCGTGCACGAGGATAACTAAGTGTTCTCTCTCATGCGCTTTTTCTTTTTCTAAATGTGGAGACAGCAGTTCTTTCCTGAAATATAGAAACATCCTCCACCATACCTTTACACTATACAGTATTTCAATCAATTATTTTACATTTTTGGTAATTAATATTCTTATTTTAAAGAAAACAAAGCATCTTTGGCAAATGGGCTTGCTTAACAAACAGGAGTGATTATAAGGTGTTTTGTGTCATAGAAACCTTTTCAATAACAGTAAGAATATATTAGTTTGATCTCATCACCTTAACAAACTCACATTTAACACAAAGTACATAAAGCACCAACGTAGTGTGTGCAGACACATATATAAAAGCTCAAGAATGGTTGGAGTAGTCACTGCAGACACACACACATGATCAAGAGGAAGCATCCACCTAAAAAACACACACCATCAAATTAAAAGTTTCACTTGAAGGCAGTCCAATGAAAACAGCCATTAACTTTAAAAGGTGTTTCAGTCTTCAGCCTAATCTGACAGAAAGCCTCTGAAGAAATCATAGCCTGAGTGGAAAGAAAGAGAGCTGAGCAAATGAAATGAGACAGGGCTGATGCGCCAATGGGAATCAAACAGACAGAGAAAAAGAGAATGTCTGGGTATAGGAGATGAAAAAAGAGGAGAGGGGCAAGCGGGAGGCTGAGTGCATCAGCTTGACCTGCTGCTACACCCTGGGAAAACATATTCCCGAATAAAAATTCCACATCAGTCCAAACAAAACATTCACTTCAGGCACACTTTCACCTCTTCAAACCGTGCACACTCCATCTGACACTCAGTCTTTTTCACCTCCTGACAGGAGCACAGAGCGGCACTGTGTCACCTGGCACAAGACCCGAACCGTAACCCGGATCAAAGTTCTGACATCGCACCACAACCGTGTTTTAAAAAGAATCATGTGACACATCAAAAGGATGATGAGGACAATGTCAGAAGGAGATTGTGTGAAAAGAGGTGGGAAAAAAGTAAAAGCGTACTCACACTCGTCCCAGTTTGGGGTTGGACTGGAAGAGAAGTTCTGGGAGAAACTGGAGTTTGTTTCTGTTGAGACGGCTACGGGGAGACAAAGAAAACGAACCCTTTAAGACAATCTGATGATTTTAAACAGAAAAGGCCAGCTCTAATGCTATGTGTCACATGCATTAATGAGTTAGTGTTGACTGAACAATCACCACCTAGTCATCTGAATCACCTCCAAAGGTCAGATGGTTAAAACTCATGAGAAAACCTCTGGTTTCCTGTGAGTTTGACCTGCAGGTCATCTTACGGCATTTTGTGTAAGAATGTCAGTCACAGGTTATCCGTTTGAAAGCCACTTATCACCACCATAACATAAGTTTGGGCTGGTCAGTAAGAAGGCTAAAAGTTATGAAGACATTTAAATGTAAACGTAAACAGCTATATTTTTAGAAATATGTTTCATTTAGCAAATGTCTACACTTGCTTTCCAACCTAAAGTGGGAAAAAGGGAAACACATTACTTGAAATCACAAAGAAAAATGAAATCACAGAGTAAATGTATTTGTGATATGACTAAATGCATGTAATGCAAGAGTTTAGCCAAAGAAATCATACTCAGTTAACCCTCTGGAGGCAGGCGTTGCAGATTTGCAACAGTTAAAACCTACTTACCTGGTTACTCCACATACGTATTTCTTGAGCATTTTTTAACTCAGAAGTACCTCTGAAGGACTTAGTTGTTCATCCTTTTATTAGTACTTATTTTGAGCCTGAGAGGGTTAATGTTTCTCATGTTAGAACAACAAATATCTTATCTACATCGTATCGGGCTACAGATATAAGAATCAAATGCATAAAAGGTTTGTGGAAAAAGGAAAAGGAAACCATTTAAACCCTATTGCAATACAAAAATAACTAAAAAACCTAAATTTGCATAATGAAATTATGACTTTTTGAAATTTTTACTCAATTCATGTTGAATTTACCAGAATCGATTTGGTTAACTGTGGTAAAGAGCTGTTGATGCCCATGCTGTGTCCAAGCAGCAGGTTTAACCCTCACCCTGCATGTGCTTCCACCGTGAACATAAGAATATTTTATACCACTCAACCTTCTTGTTATGCAAATCCAATATTTAAAATAAATATAAACTGCTTACTGTGGATGAATGATGTACTGAAAAACTGAAGTCCTCTGTTTGTTTGAGTTACTTATTCCTAACATGTAGTTTCTACATAATTGGATCAAGTTTGTTAGATTAACGTGATTAACTGTTTAAAGCTAATATAAAAGGGTAAAATGTGGTTTATGCACGATTACTTCTTGTTAGGGTAACGCTAAAAGTTTGTGTTCAGGAATCAGCTGGCTCAATGGAAAAGATTTCCCAGCATGCTACGCTCTTTCTTCAATTCAATTCAATTCAAAAATACCTTATTAATCCCAGAGGAAAATTGATTGATTGATTGATTGATTGATTGATTGATTGATTGATTGATATATAGAAAATTTAAATTAATCAATTACAGTTTGAGTTCAATTCACATTTTAATTATTATACATGAAATTAAATGTGTATGGGCTAAAAATAACTGATGTGTATAGTTCTTAATGTGGCAGTGAGCAGACATGACTGAAAAGGAAAGTGGTACAGAGGGGTTCAAAAAGCAGCCAGCAGTGCCTCCAATAGGGAGCTTAAGTCACACCCATCTACTTCCGGACCATAGGTCGCCGGAAGCACGAAAAAATGAATGCAAGTCAACAGGGCTAAAAACGCTAGTTTCTAATTCCGCTTGTTTTGGGCCATGGATTTCACATTTGATGTCCGTGAATTTTAAAGACGCATTTTGTTACCAAGAACGCACTTATTTTCGAACAGGGGGAAACGCCATTTCAGGTTTTGTGTGAAAATAAGTCCAGGACTACAAATGCGCTTCACAAAAGTGACGTCATCGAACCAGACAAGGAGAAAACTGAGGAAAAAGGGCTGTAAGTTCAGCAAACTTCCCACAGGAGGAAAAAACCCCCATAAATGTGGCCATGTGGTAAGAATCTGCTACTTTAGTGGAGAGGAGATTATGTGGTGACGTCACATATACTCGTTCAGATTTCGGGTGTGTAGCCATGCTAATTACAAACTTTTACAAATTGATAAATCTCAAAGTACGTGACCGGCGTGGTCAAAACACCCATCATTACTTTTCATTTAAATTGCAGTATAACATGTGCAATCCAGGGTGTTAGGCAAAGCAGATTAGAAAATAGTGTTTTTTTGCCCCGTTGACTTGCATTCGGCTCATTTTGTTCTTCCGGGGACCCATGAGCCGACCGGAAAGGGAGGAGACTTAACCTCCCTATAACATCTATGAACAGGGAGCATGTGCAACATTGTCTAGAGAGAGTTAGAGGCACAGACACACTGAAAATGGACTTTTGTGAGGTTGTGGAAATTATATTAATGTTTTTGTGTATTCTGTGTAAAATACATGTTATTAGAACATGATCATTTCATGTTCTTACAACATGTACTTAACATGTTATATTAACATGACATTGCCATGTTCAGATAATGTGTATATTTCATGTTGGCAGTGATAAAACAAAACATAATCTAATTTAATGTAACTGGTGTACATGGTTCAATTATGTCAAACAGACTTCCTTTGGTGTGTTCTTGCTGTGTTGAAATTCTAATTCCATGATGAAACGGACTTTCTTTCAGTGGCGAGACCAAGTTTATGCAGCTAACCCAAAACCCTGGACATATGTTTAGTTTAGTTTAGTTTAGTTTAGTTTAGTTTAGTAGAGCTTTGGCCACAAAACATGTCTGAGTGCCAGCTTATTCTTTTATTTTATTATTTAATTTTTTTCATGGTTTGCTCATTGCAGAAGGCACCAATGCATATTTGGATACAAGTATGAAAAAAAGAAATATAATATCCATAACACAACGATAAAAATGCCACAAAACATGTTCTTTAAATGCTTCTTATTAAAATGGGTCATGGATCATGCTGAAATATTTCACAATTGATAAAAGGCTAAAGAAAAATAAGTGACTTGGAGAGTGGTGCTGACTAGAAGAAAGATGGATGTGAACAGAAAGTAATGAATGGAAGGTGTTTTGGTACAAGACGTGTCGTCTTGGGTGCACGTGTGTGCAGAAGGAAGGTGGTGTTGGCTGAAGATGAGATAGCTGATGACGGTGTGTGCAGAGGGAGTGTATGTGTTATCGGTCTAGCAGAGCATTTGGCTGAGAAATGAGGCGTGGATAGGAAAACGCAAAGGAGGGTGGAAGGTTACAGGGTCACAAAGTAGAATTTAAGCTGAAAAGACACAGACGCAAACCTTTTAACCTCTGTGATAGTGAAAACAGGACCCTGACTTTCACTTCTACGTGCACCAGAAGAATGAAAAATGAAGTCTAAAACGAGAGTCTCTGTTTAAAATAATTTATAAATGCTTGTAGAAAATAACTGCTTGCATGCAACTAAATACCGTGATTGGAAACCATTAGCTATGAGTCATGTGAAGATGATTATTCAAAGCAGATTTTTAGGAGTTGTTTTAGTTGAAATCATTTTTCACATGTTTGATTTACTATAATTTCTATTTGTCTCAGCTATGGGCATCTCAATTTTAACTTCTGGGTCAATTGTTCTCTTAGAATATTTTTGTTAAAAAATGGTAACTTTGAACGAAAGACAAAAAAAAAACAATCATGAAGTTATTTTTGATAATTATTTATTTTTCATAATCATTTTTGACATTCGCTCATATTTCAGCGTGTGGGACAGATTTTAGCAAAGCCAAATGTTTTCATCTTAGTGGGTGGACTTTTTAAGCTCCATGTTTTTCACATTATGACTGCATTAATCACAAAGACTCAGTACCAGACCTCTGACCTGTGACCTTTCACCAGGCAGACAAAACATTAGAGACCCTGTCAAAGTTTTAAAATAGTTTAGAGTTTAAAATGGTAAAACTGCGCAAACAAATGAGTTTATCTTTAGCTTCTTTAAAAACATAAAAGGCTTTAAACACTGGCAGGCTTCAGACGTTCTAACATAAGATGCAGAGTCACATGAAACATGAAGCCAACAGCTGTCGGTGAAGGGGTTAGTGATAATAATAATAATAATAATAATAATAATAATAATAATAATGCATTGAACTTATATAGCGCTTTTCTAGACACCCAAAGACGCTTTCACACACTCTCACATTCACACACTGCTAGTGATGGTAAGCTACTTGTAGCCACAGCCGCCCTGGGGAGGTCTGACAGAGGCGAGGCTGCCATTTGGCGCCGTCGGCCCCTCTGACCACCACTAACACAGGCAAGTTGGGTGAAGTGTCTTGCCCAAGGACACAACAGCAGGATACCCCTGGCGGGAGCTGGAATCGAACCCATGACCCTCTCCGATCATGAGGCAACCCGCTCTACCACCTGAGCTACTGCTACCATTGTTACATGAAAACATAAACCTTGGAGAAAAGGTGGCTCCACTCCTCTTCTGAAAGTTGGGCAAATATGACAAAATTCCAAAAGCAAACGTCCAAAATGCTATTTCCTCAAAGGGCAAGAGTCTAAGCTGTCTGCTCTTTGTTGCTAAATCGATTGTATTTACTAATGGTCACCAAACACTTCCAAAGGTTTCTCCCATTTTTTCTAACTGAATTGTGAAACTCAATAAAACTGGTTCAACACAGGTTTTCAAACCCCTGCAACAACTCATGTAAAGGACATCTTCTGCCTTTTTTTATTAACATGTTCATAATTCCAGCAACATGACCATGAGGCCCTGTGATTCAAACGACAAGACATTTTAAATCCCAAGAAGGAAAGACAGTCCTGTTTGTCAGCACACCAGTGAGATGAATGTGTCACACATACATTTGTTTTGTACAAATCTGATTTAGTCTGTTAATATCTGGTCAAAAATAGGCCATAAAATGCAATGAAGAGAGGATTGGCCTAATTTCAAAGTTCACAGCTTCCCAAACGGCTGTGTCACAAACCTCCAGGAACTACGCTACTCGGATAGATGAAACAACTTTTCTTGTGTGAGTTCTGACACGTCCTACCATTCCCAACCTCTGACCTGATGCATGAAGCCGTTCAACGTCAAAGCAGCACACCGTCTCACCTTTCCACTATCAGATGTGTGATCTCCATTTAGAGACAAGATACACATGTTGCTGCCACTCAGCATCTGTCAAGATTATATCTCTGTGTCTCTGTGTGTAACTATAATACAGTCCATCTGCCGGAGAGACTTTAATCCTCAGGGATGTCCAAATGCACACGTTCATATCAACACTAGACAAGCTACACTGGTTTGTCAAACATGTTTATAATAAAACCTGCATGCTGAATGTTTTCTTCCTTGAATTAAAGGTGTTTTGTGGATTTTCTTGTTTCTTTTAAAAAGTGCTCTGAAGCACTGTGCGGTTCACCCAGCTGTATGAAAGGTCTTTTAGAAACAACTTGACTAGTTGATTAATGCAACAATAAAGCAAAACATGTAATTAATGCCATCTGAATCAACCACATTTAGGTTTAAAAAACATTAACATGTCTAGTATTTTCCTCTAACACAAATACACATAACAGTGTGTGTGTGTATGGGGTGTGTTGTTTAGCATGGTAGCACCTCAGGTCCGTTGACTTTAGCCTTGGTGCTAGTGGACTCAGGAACTCTCTCTCTCTCTCACACACACACACACACACACACACACACACACACACACACACACACACACACACACACACACACAAGGATTGGGGTTTCAATGAGACATTCCGTGGCATTGTGTGAAGTGGATTTGTTGTTTTACCAAACAGGAAGTAAATGCAGTTGCTGCAGGATCTCTACACATTTTTTCTAACAAAAACAGTAACAAATCAAATATTTGCATATCTTTGTGTTAACCGATGTTTTGGAATTTGTAAATAAGCTGCTGCTAATGGCACTTTTTGATAAAAAATTATTAGAACAAATCATTAAACTTACAGTCTTTCCAGCAGCCGCAGGTCCTGGAAGGCCCCTCGCTCGATAACAGTGATTTGGTTGTCCTCCAGATGACTACGTTGACGGACAAAGAATAAAAAGAAAACATCAGCAGATGTTACAATTGTTTTTTCAGACATTGTATCTGGAACTTTACATGGTTGTCATGGACATGGCGTTAAAATTGTTCAATTTACAAATCAAACTGAAAGAAAATGAAAGTAGTCTACACATCAGACACTGTTCTCTAGCGCACGCTGAGATATGCACTCATTGTATAAACACACAATCAGTGCGCTGAACAAATTAATCTGGCATAAAACAAAAGCTGATGACAGTCAGCCCTGAACCAGTGTTGTAATCTAAGACAAAACAAATAACTAAGCAGATATTTTCCCCATTTCTCTGGTCTTTAATGTGGTCCTCCCAAAGTAACACATACAGTTTTTCTCTCTTTCTTCCTCTCTGCTCTGTGTTATTTTGTTTTGGGTGCAAACTAAGGTTTTCCAGAAGATTCAAAGAAAACAAAATCAACAGTTATATGCATATCTGTTGATTTTAAGGATTACATGTCCTGAGAGGGAGGAGAGGAAAGGGTGGATCCGGGAAAGTAATGTCAGTCTGAGAAAGAGAAAATAAAAAACAAAGGAGGTTAGAATGACAAGACTGATAGAGATAAAAGTAAAAGCAGAAGGAGCTCAAACACAGCTCAGTGCTCTTTGAAGGAATGAATATTTCCTGCAAATGTTGAAGCCAGAGATTTAAACTAAATATATTCACGTTGATAAATAAAGGAATCACTGCAGTTTAGTACAAATTTCAATTACCTAACAGAAAGAAAGAAAGAAAGAAAGAAAGAAAGAAAGAAAGAAAGAAAGAAAGAAAGAAAGAAAGAAAGAAAGAAAGAAAGAAAGAAAGAAAGAAAGAAAGAAAATGATTTTTTATATAGCACCTCTCAAGATAAAAGTCCTGAGGCACTTAACAAAAACAAAAAAAATATAATTTCTGCATAATTTTTTTGTCTAAAATGATTAAATTAATGTTTGAAATAAGAAAAAATATAAATTGTGAATAAAAAATGTAAGGAAATGGAGAGAGAAAATCAATGGGAAAGATGGAAATCAGTGGATCCCAGAAAAGGCGGAATAAGAACAGAATAATGAGGGTGATGATGGTCACACAAAAGCCAGCCTGAACAGGTGAGTTTTCAGCTGCTTTTTGAAGGAAACCACTGAGTCCACTGATGTCAGGCTCAGGGGGAGAGAGCAGTTTGTTCAGTTGGTGGTTGGTGAAAAGAAACCTTTGTGGGTCTAAGTGTGAAAAGATTATATTCCATTATAAGTTTTTATATGGAATGTTGGAAAATTACTCCAATTCCAGACCAATCATTTCATTCTCTTTTTTAAATAAGCAGTTTTACAGATAAAGTTAAGTTTTAAATTTACAGATAAATTAGACTGTAATAATAATCAAACAACAACATAAGTCCATAAGTACTCCTTTAGGAGAAAATGCACCCCATAACTTACAGCGTTGGCCTTATTCACATTTTATTTTGACATTAATGGGTTTTCCAGTTTGAGATCTCAGTCTCCAACAGCCTGTGTGTCTTAATCGTCAACACAAAATGTACCTTAAAGCAAAATACCCAGCTACACCAGCAGGTGGCATTAACTCAATATAGACATTTTATTAGATATCCTGTTTTAAACATTCTAGTGGCATAAAATGAGCAGAAATTAGCACATGTTCCAACAACAGGTCATGGACTACTCATGTAGGGATTTGGCCTTATTGGCAGTGGGTGAACAAAGACTAGCTTTAGCAGAAGGAGAAGATGTTGACTTCAAAATGTTTTGTTGCTTTGAAAGAGTTTAGACATGAGACAGCGTTAAACAAGTTGTTGTCCTTCGTGCACAAATGCACACAAATCATTAAATGCATAACCCTAAATTAGTTAAAAACGAGAAAAATTCCATTTGAAAAACAAGTTAGTAATTCATACTTTGCATGACATATTTTGTTCCATAGTTATGTATTCTCTTTAAACTATATTGGGGAGGAGGTCCTGCCCTTAGTGGAGAAGTTTAGGTATCCCGACAGGTGGATTGGTGCAGCGTCTGCAGTGATGCGGGTCTTGTACCGGCCTATCATGGTGAAGAGAGAGCTGAGCAAAGCTCCTGATTTACCAGTCGATCTACTTCCCAACTCTCATCTATGGTCAAGCTTTGGGTAGTGACTGAATGAATGAGATTGCAAATACAAGCAACCAAAATGAGTTTTCTCCACAGGGTGTCTGGGCTCTCCCTCAGAGATCAAGAGGAGCCAGTTGATGTGGCTCGAGCATCTAGTTAGAATGCCTCCTGGACGCCTCCCTGGTGAGGTTTTAGGAGCACGCCCAACTGGGAGGAGACCTAAACGAAGACCCAGGACACGCTGGAGGTGCTATGTCTCTCGGCTGGTCAGGGAATGTCTTAGGATTCCCCCGGAGGAGCTGGCCCAAGTGGCTGGAGAGAGGGAAGTCTGGGTCTCTCTGCTTAGTCTGCTGCCCCTATGACCCAACCCTGGATAAGCAAACGAAAATGGATGTATGGGTGGGAGATCTGACGCAATGAAAACTAGACGTGCTTCTGAATAAATCCGCTGACAACAGATTCTGGAGAACCAGGATACAGACCAATTAAAGGATGTTCTGCACAACAGATATCAGATACGCAGAACATGCAAAACCTGCAAAAATCAACCAATAACCATAATTAACTGCACTGCCAAGATTAACCTTGACAGTTTATTTTAATGTGGCTACATATCCTCTTCGCCCAGGAAAAGTTAAATCAAGAAATAAATTTAAATAAATCTAAAAGTTTATTTTCCCAAATGACAGACCAACCAAATATTGATTTACTGACAGATTTAGCAGGCCAAAGGATGCTGAGCCAAACACATGGTGCAGGGAGGCCATGTTGGCTTTCTGCTCTGATGAGGTATTGTTTTCACATTGTTCTTTGTCAGGCATTAGTCATCCACAGAGAGAGGGAGAGAAGAGCACAAACACGTTTTGTGTATTTGGAGACAGCTGAGTCTAATAAGTTATTTGGTCAGCCATTATAAAAACCACAATGATGTCACGCATTAGCAAAGGGTGATAACTTGACCCTTGAAAGAAAACAAGAAAACACATCAAGCTTTATTAACTTTCCTTTGGGTTTACGCACAATGGCTGAAATCACATTCATTTAACTTTCAGCAAATGGCGAAAACTTGGCCTCTGACTGAAAACGGGGGATATTATGTCACTAGAAGTTTACTCACAATTGATAAATCCTGGTTGTTTTTATGGCCAGCTATCGGGTTCCAGTATTCACCTACATCTAAATTTGTTTAGAATTACTCAATTTGACCGCAATCTGGAACAAATCTCACAAAGGATGGCTGCCAAAGATATTAAGCTAAGTGTTGCGCCTGCAGAGGCAAGCTGTGTTAGCAGCGAATAACAAATATTCAGTCTGCTGGACACAATTATATGTTTTGGGGGCAAACGCAAGGCGATATGAAATGTTTAGCCTCCTTCCAGACTGTGGTCTGAACACAGTACTTTAATGAGGTCAGATATAGAGTTGGATGATTTAAAATACCAACAAATCTGTCCAATTAGCATGTTTTTATTTTTGTACTCTGTAATCTCTGGTCATGTTAATGCAGAAGCAGAACATTTAGCTGTATTGATGTTTGGAACGGAAGTCTGATAACATGCAGGCATTTTTCTAGAGTGAATTATCAGTAATTACAACCTTGTTCAGAAGAGAAGCATTTAAAAACTATACTTTTTACTCACATGGGAAGAATTTAAAGTGTTGAAACTATATTTAAACATTTTCCTAAGGGAGTTGCAACCCAAATGCTGAAACTAGACGTGTGTGTGTGTGTGTGTGTGTGTGTGTGTGTGTGTGTGTGTGTGTGTGTGTGTGTGTGTGTGTGTGTGTGTGTGTGTGTGTGTGTGTGTGTGTGTGTGTGTGTGTGTGTGTGTGTGTGTGTGTGAGAGAGAGACAGGGAGAAACTGTGGTCTGGTGAACAGTAAGGCTTATTTGACTAAAGATAAGGCTAAAAGCTACCATGTCACTAAAAAATATGCAAGTATTTGTGCTTACACTCTTGTTTCTGCCTTCTCAGACAACCTCCTCTTTCCCAAGACACAATTTCTTCAAAGAGATTTGGAATGGGTAAATGTCACAGCAGTTTATCACCAACCACATGAAACAAGCTGCTCAGCTGTCACATAGACACACAAACACACACTGCCTACTTTCCCAGGTCATTCTTATCAATGGAATAAAATCGTTACAATTTTAGTTTTTTTCTTGTTGTGTCTTCAAAACACATGAGCACAAATAAAAAAAGAAAGGAGTATACAGAAAATCCCAATTGGAAAAAGTCATTCGTACTTTTGGTGCAGTTCGTAGTGGGAGAGTATTTTTATCTGTCGGTCTGGTTAAAACTGAGAGAGGAGGGAAGCAGCATGCAGCCAGCAGTGATTATAGTCATTTAAAACCCCATACACACACATGAACAGGCACACACACACAGACACACACACACATTTCATGGACTTGAAGCAAAATTGTGAAAGCCTGTGAAGTCAATTAGAGCAGCCAAGAAGAGATAAGGAGTTCCACTCTACTGGGTGAAGCCATTTAAATGATCAGTGTCTAAATTTTTCTTTATGACTCATTAATTCAAGAGTCAAGCAGATGAAATAGGTAGAAAATCCACAAGGCAAGAAATTATCTGCTAATCAACTTGAAATTGAATCAAGTATGAAAAGTATTGTGATGTTTAGGTGTTTTATTTAATCCAAACTCACGATGTTGTCTTTATCTCACGATTCATCTCGTCTTTTTGGCTTTCAACTCCAGAAAGGCATGAGGTCCATGGGTGTTATCTGGCTGATTTGTGGAGCTATCACGTCAACTCTGGTTGTTTTAACGAGCCACAGAAATAAATTTGACATTGACACCAGCAGACAAAAGGCTCAGGACCTTCTGTTTCCACATAACAAAAAGAAACGGCATTTTTCTGAGAGCTGTGGTCTCCCCATCACTAAACAGAAACTCTTTAGATGAAATCCACACTAAATGTAAGACTAGAATAGATTATTAGATTTTCTAATGAAACAAAGGGAAACACCTATGGAGGCAGCGTGTGTGTGGGGCCTTTTATTTGTTGTCGATTTTGCTTGCTATAAGTTTTGTTGCACTGCATATGAAGAAATTCGCCAACACCATCCAGTTACCCTCAATAAAGGGAGTTGGGGGGGGGGGTGCTTTGATCATCTTCATTATATCGCCATAAGAGCAGAAGGTGAGAGGAAGGATGAATCATCTTTCGGGCTTACCCTGGGTGTGTCCCTTATGGGGGAACAGGGCTCCCCCTAGCTCCCCCATGATTTAAACCCTGGCTAGCACATATTTGTGCATCTCTGATACTGACAGAAGGAACCGCATCAGTACACACAGCATTTTTGTTGCTTGTTTGTTTGATTTTTTGTTTTGTTCTTATTGTTTTTTTTTTATTTTCTGATAGCTAGTGCTGCTCAGAAATTATATTAGTCCATTTACCCAATGAAGACATAAAACACCAGTTCCTATTCTGTATGTAGAATAGTAATATAAGGTGAAGATAAATGTAAATGACCTTGCTGGCACATTAAATACAGTTCATTTTGCAATCAACAAAATAACTATTTTAGCAAATGTTGTTTAGTTTGGCTCAGTTATTTGAGCTCAGTTCTGAAAATAAACCTTTTCTGAATAGATATCAGAATAGTAGGAATCATATATTATGATGCAAGAAATTATTACTAGGTGGAAATGTGTCAGGCATGGGGAAAACGTCTGATTACAACATATATGTGATTAAAAACATCATTTTGTTTTGGGCATGTAAGTATCTCCTCATCTAAAACAAAATAAGGTAAAACAGGATGCCAAGTCCTTCTTTTAAATTTTATGGAGGGATTATGGTGAAGCCACCATGTTGTAACCAGTTAAGCATCATGCTGGAATGTCTGTTAATTTATGGCATTACATCTTTTTTAATCCATTACCTAACCTTGTTAACAGCCAAGAACTGTTGAAATTCAAGTGCTTAGATCACGTTGTGTCCCCTAAAAGCCTTGTTAAAATGGTAAACTTTATGGGAACGTGTTTTTCCTATAATCACATTCACCCCCGTTGGGTTAAAAAGTACTCACATAATTGCTGCAGAATGACATTTTTTCCATTTTTTTGAGAACTTTAATAAATACATGTACAGGCTGCAGTAAGCTAATGAAAATAAAAGCACCAGCAACACTGTAATCAATCCAGCAGCTTTGACTGCATCAGAACCATATCAGACTATTGTTGCTGTGCTGAGCTCTTAAGAGATCACAGAAAAAAAATTCAAACCACCAACTTTTCTTCTGGTCTCTAGCTCCATGGAAAAACATTCCCCTGTTCTCTTTAACAAAAACCTCTTTATGGAAGCACACTAATGCGCTCTTACTGCAGCCTTCGACAGTGGATAATGAAATCCTTTTGTCACATTAGGAGGAACCAGTTGGTTTCCAAGGTTCAGCACTACGTTGGTTTACATCCTACCTCCCTAAAAGAGACTTCTCTGTTAACATTGGTGCTTGTGCCTCTTCTGTAGCTCCCCTCTTCTGCGGAGTTCCTCAAGGGTCCATTCTTGGTCTACTTATATATATATTGCCCCTGGGTTTTTATCTTAAGGATGGGTTTTCTTTTGACTGCTATGCTGATGACATTCAGATATACCTACCCCTGAAAGCACTGAAAGCACTGAAAGCAGGGCAGCCTCTGTTTGACTGTCTACAAGATTGCAGGGTTGGTTAGCGCAGAATGTTTTACACCTTAATGAAAACAAAATGCATGCTGTTTGGTGACTCTAATATCTTGGCCTTGTTAAATCAGAGCCTTGGCCCTTTGACACCACACTTAGAGTCTTCTGTAAAGAATTTGGATGTAATATTCAATAACAATCAAGAAAAACAAATAGACTCGGTTGTGAAATCTAGTTTTTTCCACTTTAGATTATTGAAAGAAAGAAAGAAAGAAAGAAAGAAAGAAAGAAAGAAAGAAAGAAAGAAAGAAAGAAAGAAAGAAAGAAAGAAAGAAAGAAAGAAAGAAAATTATCTTTTATATAGCGTCTCTCAAGATAAAAATCACTAACTTATTGAGTAAAGAAATGCCCGTTCTTTCATTATTTTTTAGATATGAAATTGGAGATGAAAACAGTTTCTAATTATACATGACTATCTTATTCTTAATACAGAAATATAGTGTCATTACCACGCTAAGTTGCTGCTCAAAACCAGTTTCAAACTAATTTAATTGCACCTATTTTCAGTATCATTTAACTAGTTTAAACTTTTATTCTTGCTGTACTGTAATTGTGTTCTTCAAAACCTTTATTTGGACTCCAAATTTTGGAGTCATTAGCAGTACAGAGTTACATTATTTTTAAATTTCATGGGGTTAAGATAGCTTCAGTACAATCTCACTGAATAATAATATAGTAAAAGGTAACATGACATTTTAAATAAAACATAAAAATACTTACAGAATCCGGAGGTTCTTGAGGCCAGAGAAGTCCACTTTATTGATTCTAGTGATGTTGTTTCTGTTCAGATCCCTACAAAGAGAAAATCGAGGATTACGATTCAGATTTATAATACGTTAGTTTTTAGTTTGATGATCATTAAACCGTAATTTCATCATAATGTGAATTTTTTACAGACCACACCGAAACAAACTAAAAACAAGTAAATGAATGTCTGGTTGCAGTTCTCACACACCCAAACATGTGAATGTGGCAATGAGGCTGAGCGTGAGAATACCCTGCAGCATCCAAGGCCACACACACACACACACACACACATACAAACAAGCACACAAACATACAAACACAAACAAAGACCACTCTTACTGTACTGTGCACGCACCATGAATGCTGAGAAAAAATTTGAGAAGAAAATGGATACATTATTTTTTCTTTCTATCATCACAGTTTATAACTCACTGTGTTAAAGCTGTGAGGAGTCTAAATGAGTAAGTGTGTGTGTGTGTGTGTGTGTGTGTGTGTGTGTGTGTGTGTGTGTGTGTGTGTGTGTGTGTGTGTGTGTGTGTGTGTGTGTGTGTGTGTGTGTGTGTGTGTGTGTGTGTGTGTGTGTGTGTGTGTGTGTGTGTGTGTGCGTGTGGTTACTCCACATACGTATTTCATGAGCATTTTTTAACTCAGAAGTACCCCAGAAGGAATTAGTTGTTCGTCCTTTTATCAAAACTTATTTTGAGCCTGAGAGGGTTAAACGAGAGTAATGTTTATTGAAACACTGTCCCACAGAAGGAAATAGGGTAAGAAGAAGAAAAAACACACACAAAGTGAGGGTATGAATAATACCCACCCTTTTATTCTTATTTCTCACACACACACACACACACACACACACACACACAGTCTGGGTCTGTAGAGGCAGTGTGCCTGTGTGTTTTTGATAATACACCTAAACATTTATAAATCTGATTTAAGACCATATTGGGTTTCAAAAGGTCTCTCCATACAACCATAGCAGGCGATGCTAATAAGATCCATACCAGCCTGAGACTGGAAGGGCTGCTGCAGCCCAGACTAGCACTCCACTCCAGCTTACACTGGGGACCATAGCCCACCAGTGTGCCCTTGAAAATTCTTCAGGGTAATGAATAGTTTCAGCTCTTATCTATGACAAAGCGGGGTTATAGAAATGACCCTTCTGACTGATGATCAGGAAGCAAAGACACTGAAGGAAAATTGAATACTCAGAATGGAATTATGCAGAAGTTTCATCCATAAAAAAAATTCTTGAAATAGAAAACAAAGACTTGTCCACAAATTGTCAGAATGTGTAAAACTGATGTAAATCAAAGTCCTCAGAGGGTCTCAGTGTCAGGGATGAGGACCTCTAAATTCAGAGCAAAAGTTCTCCAGAAACGGATGGATTACCAGCTCCAGGTCGGACAAGAGGACCTACCTCAGCAAGAAGACTTTAAGCATGTCCAGATTTTGCTCACAAATGAGATTGAGGGATTGGATTTTGGTATCTGTAGTAATACATATGCTAAACTGTTCTTCTGAGTAGGGTTGGGCATCGAGCATCGATTGGAACTGGTTCCAACTGTTCATTTATCCCGGAATCGTTCAAAGATTTTTATTTCGATTCCTAGAATGCCGACCGGAAGAAGAATCTGTGGCCGATCTCCGTGAAAAATAAACGTGATCTGCGAATTGTGATCAATGCTTTTCAGAGCTGATCACACAGCTGTCTGTGTGCAGCACGAGTCCCCCCTCCCCCCACCCGGCGTGCAGCGGCCAGATATAAACAAACGTGTCTGCCGAACTTTTACTCCATAATGCAAACTTTAACTCCTGCAACGTAGAGGAAACTTGTTAAAATACGTCAACACGGTGGATTTAATAGAAGCTTTAAAGAACAAACTCTGGACGGTGTGAGGTGAGTTTGTCTCACTGCAGAAATAAAAACACACACAGAGTGTCAGCAGTCAGACACAGCCAGCTACATTTAAGTTTCACTTCCTGTTCTGACTGAATGCTGCTGCAACATGGAGGTGTAGTTCTCAGTCATCCTGGACATGATCATCCTGAGAGTTTTAGCTGAAAACAGGTGGACGTTTCTGGATATGTTGGAGACATTTAGCCTCTCATCCCAGAGGCTTCTTCCATACGTTGGTTGTGGTCAGAAACAAACACACTGGTTGTGCTGCAAGTCTTTTTTTTTCTTCTCCAAAACATGTTTTTGTCTAAATGAAGGTGATGTTGTTGTTCATAGAATTAAAATTCATGTTGACGTTAAGATTATTTCATCAAGTAGGACCTGTGGTTAGCTAGCTCATGTAAAACATGTCATGTCTTGAAAGAATCGGAATCGAGAACCGATAGGAACTGGAATCGAAATGAGGAATTGGAATCGGAATCGTTCAAAATCAAACGATGCCCAACCCTACTTCTGAGGTGAAGAAAAAGCTAAGCCAGATGGTGGAGCTTGCTAGATACTGTAGAAAGTGAGTTTCTGAGAAGGATCCTGTTAGATGAATGATTTTCACCATGTTAAGCCAACCCATGCTACGTGCCAAAAGAGCAATATTACTGATAAAATAAAAAGGAGTTGCTGTTCTGAAATGGTGCTGGTTGTAATCAGACCCAAATGCTGTTGAGTAGGAACAGGAAGCAGACTTACAGGCAAAATAATGGTTTAATATGTATAATAGTAGGGTGTCACACAAAAACAACGATCTGCATAAGGGTAATCAGGAATCAGCTGAGTAGGATAACAAGGGGCAGGTGAGTCCACTAAGCACCTAATGAGGGGAGGCAAGACAACACATCAGAGAGAGAAGAAGCAAATCCTGACCGTTTCCTTTGCAGGGTAGCCAGGCTCAGCCTTGTGTAGATAGGCTGGGCAGCTCGGATGTCTGGGTGGGACTCAGGCCTAGTCCACACGTAGCCGGGTTTTTTTAAAAACGAATATCCGCCCCTCCAAAAACTTGCATCCACACCACCTCTTTAAAAAATAAACTGTGTCCACACGTACCCGGATAAATACGTTGTTAAGGACATGCCAGACCTGTAGGCAGCAGTACTTCCCCCGTTCTTAACCTCGTCCTTCGTCTGTGGTCTTCCGCAAGGAGCAGTAATTCCGCTTGCAAAAACAAACAAGCAAAAAGCGCTTGGACAATTGATAAAGCGAGCGCAGCTCTGAGGGCATCCATGCTGTCGGCTAGTGTAAACACAGGTCGCACACGTGATGTCAGCATTATTTTGTCGCAGAAAGTGATGTTGCAGACCTTAAAACTCCGATTTTGTCTGTCCACACGCAGACACCCAAAACGGAGAAAACGCAGATCTTCACTTTGGCCGGAGTTTTTAAAAAGATCCGTTTTCGTGTGAAAAAACTCAGTTTTCGTGTGGATGACAGGCCAAAACGTAGAAAAATATCTACGTTTTGGCAGATCCCCGGCTACGTGTGGACAGGGCCTCAGAGTAGTGGCACTACTCCTACAGTTGAGGTGGTTTTTGTATTTGATCAGGACGCCTCCTAGACTCCAGGATAAATGGGATGAGCCAATTAAAGGGGCTGTGGAGCAGACGGGCTGGGTCTCTTGGTGACTGATTGCAATTATTTGAATTAGAAATTTATATTTTCATGCAAACACATTTTTTTTCTCTTAAAATGAAATGTCACAACTACTGGATCAGTTACTGATGCATTTAGAAGGTCAAGGCTAACTGGTGAAGTTCTATGATCTTTTAAAAATAAAATTCCTAAGGTCGAGGGAAGCTGATGCACTTGACTGCCATGATAAAGCTCAAAACAAATCGAAACGTTAAAATCTGTACAGTAAAAGGAGGAAAAATCTTTCCCACTTGCTGAAATATTAAGGATTTGCATGGAGAGATCAAAGCCTCTGAAAGCATCAAAAACATGAAAATAGAAATGAGAAAAGTAAATTAAATTAGATGTCAAGTTTCATCTGTTTGTCCAGTCCATTCAGACTGCTGACACAGTTGTTCCTCCATCAAACCAAATGTTGCGAAAAGGGATAGCCGGTAAATCACTGAACACAGTGAAAAATGTGTCACAGCACTGATTTAATCCCGACTTGAAGACGGAGCTGCTTCCTTGACATAACTCTTTTAATACATGATGATGTGTAATCCCAGGTTTCTGCTCACTTCTGATTAGTTCTGGCACAGCATTCAATCTAAAACTTTTATTCCTCACCTCTTCACCTCCATCCATCCTCTCCTCCTGTAATAAACCTCTAATATCCGTCAATGCTCGTCTTTTCACATGCAGCTGTGCAATCTTTCACTTTTCCGGTTCTGCCATTCATTTTACCTTCATCTATCTCAAATCTCTGCCTGGTTGTGGGTCTGATGTTAGCCCGCCAGCCCGTCAGAGCCAGCTCCACCTCCTGTTCCCAGGATTTCCGTCCACTTTTGTATTTCTCTCTAATCTCTCCCTTTCTAGTATATCTCCCTTCTCTCCTTCTCTCACATGTTATCGTTCACTCTTTCACAGTTGACCAAACACTTTTTTCTACACCTTCATCTGTTTCCCTCTCCGCCCATAATCTCCCCTCCTTCATCTCAATCTTTTACTCTTTTACAGTTAGCTACATTTTTTTCTTTTACTTTTTTCTCTTTCCACCTCTAATCTCTCCATCCTTATCTTCATCTTTCTCTTGTTCGCAGTGGAAACTCTTGAAATCACCAAGGAGACAGCGCTGTAGTCAAACAAACAGTGAGGATACATTTCCAGGTGGACCACAATGGCATCACCATATCTAACATCACTAAGCCAATAAATAAGAAGGTTTTATGGTTCCTACCAGACAACAACATTTAAGGGTGTAAAACCCTAATCAAAGGGAATGCACTCAAAAAAGCATGCTACAAACCATTAGTTTATCATGAATAGATACTAATTAGTCCTACAATGAATGGATGGATGGATGAGCATCAACTGAAAATGAATTACTTACATAAACAGATTTGCAAATCACTTAATAGATTCAGAACTGACTCTAAATATATCTTGTTTAGGGATGGGTACCGAATTCGGTACTTTTTAAGGT